TACTTTCTTGTAATTAAAGTCTTATATACCGTAAATAAAATATATCTTTCTTTAACTATATACTTTTCACGAACTGCTCTTAGTGAAGTAACATTCCACTTCCACACTGCTATAATCTTGCAACAGAGCTCTATAGCTGTGTGTTTTGTTACTTGTGCTGTATTAAGAAGGCTACAGTCCACTTGTAACAATATATTAAATAGTTTAATTACTAGATTAGTAATTTGTAATTAAAAATATATAAATCGAATAATAAAATAAAAGATTATATACATTTATTAAATTAAATAAGAACATCATTTACTCTTTATTTTTCTATATTTGAATATTGACAAGACGATTACAATATTCTCTAATATCCTTAGCAATCTTAAGAGTTTTTTGAATATTTCGATGAACTGCTAGTAAGTGATGATCATTATCATTGGTAATTTCTTTTTCTAAATCATCTACTAAATCTTTCAACTTATTAACCATTAGTTGAAAATAATCAAATATACTGCCTTCAAAATCATTATTAGAAGATATAGATGAAAAAAAAATTATGACTAATATCTAAATTTGAATAAATATCTAGTTTAATAAATAAAGAGTCTAATGGCCTAGTATTACTGTAATATGTTTAATATATACAAATGAATATTGTGTAAATCGATATATAGAAATAAGTTTATAGAAATACTACTTGCCATATTAATAAGATGTTTATAAAACATAAATCAGCTAATTAAATAGGCTGGACAACTACATATCCATCTTTAAATATCTGTATAATATTGAGTTGAATTTATTGTTGTTTTTTTTGCTAAAAATCGCCAGGTTTTCTTAAAGTCTTTTTTATACAGACTTAATACAACTAGAAAGAATAAGATATTTATTAATTAATTATGATACAAATTGACTAGTAATAATATAGACAAGTAAGTTTAAATAAGGCTTATTAAATTTATATAAAAATTATATTTAATAGGCGATTCTCCAGTCACCTGGTTCAAAAATTTTTTTTTTATATATAAATTTTACTATAAGTGCGAATGTGCAGCGTCCCTATCTAAAACTTTTTTTTTACTAAGTAAATCACTCTTGGGCTTCTAATAAAAGTTGTAAAGCTCATCAAAATGCATCTAATAGTAAAAGAACATTAAAATTGGCTTGGTAGTTCTTGAGTTATCTTTAAAAAACTTCTTTTTTACAT